CTCAAACAACTTCTTTACTTCATCTCTTATTCTAATATCTCTGTTTCCATCGTAATAGTATCCTTGCAACACTTCACATTTGACACCTTGATATTTTATGAGGTCTTGTAATGTTATATGGTCAACATACATTAAACAGCAAGTGTTTGAACTTCTGGGAACGTTAAGTTCTGGATTTAGTTCAGGGTCACAAACTATTAAAGGAAAGTGTCTATGTATTCCAATCTCTGTTATCTTAATGAGAACAAAGAAGCCAGACATAAACTTTTCACCAATGGGTTCCTTTTGGTCGTCATCGAATAAATGTCTCATGAGATACTCTGTGCTTAACATTTCTTCTTCAATACTTTGGAATACCTTCTAAAGTATAAAGTCTTGCTATAGCTGATGGATATAATGAAACAGCGTCGAAGTCAGCAATGAGTTTCTTTTCGCTCTTTTGTTTCATGTTATCTGACAGCATACATCTTCCACCTTGAATACAGCGTGAAATAAATTCTCTTGGTTTATTTGAGAGGTCATATAAATTTCCATTCGGGAAGTACACTCTGTTCTCAAATAATTTGTTAGCAATTGAACAAATACTAACGTAGTCATAAACGTTTAAATCAAATTCTTTCAATATGTCATTGCGGAACTTAACAAAACCTTCTCTTAAAATTCTTACATCTTGTTTGCAATAGAATGTACTATATTTTTCTAAGTCGAAGTGGTTTCATCTATTCTGCAACCTTTGATGGAATCTATGTTTTTCATGAATGTATCGCATCCTGGATAAACTTACATGCTTCAGAAATGACACCAGTTCTGTTGTCATTTGCTAACAAAACACTGCTGTAGTAGTTGTATGGAAATACTTCTTTCGGTCCTGTTTGTAAGTTAAACATAGCAGGAAATAGTTTAAGCTTCTTATTTATAACACTGTAAGAGTCTTTTATAATAATTGCCCTTCCTTTATATAAGCCAGTTATTTGCATTGTTCGTGAACCTTTAATGATGGGAGTTCCTTTCACTTCTGTCATGTGTCTTAAGATGAAGTTTATATCATAACTGAGGTTATGGAAATATATTAAACTCTTGTCAGGAAGTCGCTCCAAAAATTCTGTTGCACAGTTCTGACCCCAAATGCTTTCACTCACTGAACCATCTTCACTGTCATAACAGATGTTAAAAGCTTTATGAAAGCCATCGTACTACACTCAAAGTCAGCAAAGAAAACGTGCTCAGGAATGAACTTGCACTTATTTTTATTTACTTCTTTTGACTCGGCTTTCTTCTTCAGTTGTACACAATACTTTGGAGCATATGTCAAATCTTTAAATGGTGCAAGGTTCTGTTTATATAAGTCAGTCGTATATGTGAAAAGTTCTCCATAAGAAATAGGTTCGAAATATTTGCACTCCCACAATGTTTTCATAACATCCATAACGGTGTTGTTCTATCATAACGAACTACATATTTATCTTCTCTCTTTGTATAAATCTTCATTTGTTTCTCAATGTTCATTCCACCACACTCCTTCAAGATTTCTATATAGTTGCGAATGAAATATGTTGTCATTGGTAATCTTTCATTTAGCATGTAGTGGTCTTCAACAAGAAGTAAGTCAATAGTTCGAACAGTTTCACATTCTTTTGGTATGTATCTCTTTATTTCATTATGTCTTGAGTCATTGAAATAACCAATGGTAACATTAAATGCTATACCTGTTGCGTCAGAAATTTCTTGTACTTTACTTTGAGGAAAGTCTCTAACACGAATGACTTCTCTCATGTGGTCAATAGTTTCTTCATTTACTCCAGCCTGAATGCAAGCATAAACGAAACAATTGTCTTCTGTCATAAGTGTTGCAGTTCTTTTGTTCATTCATTCATTGAAGATTTAGCGTTCAAGATTTATAGGTAATGTGCAAAGATACTTCCAGAACTGACCGCTTCTCTTCTTATAAAACTTCTTTTCACCATTATCTTTCCAAAAGCTTTCTATAAGTGCTGGGTTTCCTGTTTGCTTAAGAGCTTCCAAAATGGCTTTCTGGTCATTTGTCAGTGTGCTTTCATCTCTATATGGTCTCTTTTTTGGTTTGCCTTTCTTTACATCTGACATCGTTAAGCCTTCATATTCTGTTAAATCATACATCTTTATTTCAGTAAGATTCTTTATGTTTGTCAAGAAGAAGTCATAGTGCATTTCAACAATACCTGCAGCATTTGCTTCTATCTCTGATATAAAGTTCTCCTTCAAGAGCTGATGTAGTAATGTTCCAATATTATTGAGGTTTAACGTAGAACATTCATACTTTCCACCAAGTTTATAACATACCATCCATCTCTGTTGGGAGTTTATTTTAATCTTCTCTAAGAGTCTCATGAAAACCTTACCGAAATGTTTGTGTAAGTAGTCTCTGTTTGGTTCATCTAAAGCTTCGATGTTAAAGTCAATGAGTCTATTGCCTGACTTCACATTTCTCTTCCTATTCTCTTCATCTTTCTTTAACCATCTCTCACCTTCTTTTGGTTTGTCGTCAATGGAACGAATGACATCGTTAGCTTTGCGAACTTGTTCTATAGCACTTTTAACATCTCTCTTCTCTGTTGTTTCAGTGTGTCGTCTCTTCTTCTTGTTTCACCAACGTTTGCATTTGTTATGTCAAACATTTCTCTTCTTACTTCATGAGGTACTGAACGTCTATGATATAAGTCAATAGCAACGTCATTTAAAGGAAATGCTATTGCATGGACTTCGTCCTCGCCGCGTTGCGGCTTTATGAACTCATGAATTCTATCATAACTTATTGCACCATTATAGTCATTGAGGATGTCAGCGAGTGCCTTTTTGTTTGTTGCGTAATGTTTTGCAACATCTATGTTAGCTTCTGTAAGAAGTTGTTTTATTTCCGAGTGTTCTAACTTAGACAACTTCCGATACATCTTTAGTAGGAAATAAAAAATATTTTTTGAAAAAATTAGATTAGATTTTTTTAAGTTATTTTTCAAAATAATTTAATATTTTTATTTTAATGAAACACATGCAAGATTGCAAGTTCTTTTCATACAATGCTCTCGCTACTGCCATCAAGAATGAGTTCAATAATGCTTCAAATGTTAATGTTATCTTTAACAAGAAGTTTGTGAAAGAATCTAAGTTTGGTCAGTATGTCAGACCATTAGCTATCGTCATTGACCGCAAACGTTATACTTCACAAGAGTTAGCAGTAGTTTTGAAACAAAAGAGTTTCTTCGTGAATGTCAAAGATACTCATTATACTGTTATAAAGAACTCTAATATTGACTTCTTCAGTATTGTTTTAAATCTTTCCGAACAGAAAGAATATAAGAATGGTGAAACATCTGTGAAATATTATCCTTCATCTCTGAAGACAATAACGAACAAAGATGTTATACAGAAATTCTTACCAAAGGTTGAAGAAGCTTCTATTGACATTGACGAAGGAAGTGAAATGGTTGAAGAAATAGACCCTGAAGCTATTTAAGCAAAAATATATTTTTGAAGAACTGAAGGTGTCACCACGTCACCATGTGCTACCAGGTTAATTAACTTCTTTTAAAAATGATGACAACATGACATTTTGACAACAGTCCAGGAAATAAATTTTATCGTTAATGTTTACGTTAATGTTTTTCATTAAATTTTGTCAAAGTGCAAATCTTCACTTCGTCAAAAAGTTAATGTTTTTCATTAAATTTTGTCAAAGTGCAAATCTTCACTTCGTCAAAAAGTTAATGTTTTTCATTAAATTTTGTCAAAGTGCAAATCTTCACTTCGTCAAAAAGTTAATGTTTTTCATTAAATTTTGTCAAAGTGCAAATCTTCACTTCGTCAAAAAGTTAATGTTTTTCATTAAATTTTGTCAAAGTGCAAATCTTCACTTCGTCAAAAAGTTAATGTTTTTCATTAAATTTTGTCAAAGTGCAAATCTTCACTTCGTCAAAAAGTTAATGTTTTTCATTAAATTTTGTCAAAGTGCAAATCTTCACTTCGTCAAAAAGTTAATGTTTTTCATTAAATTTTGTCAAAGTGCAAATCTTCACTTCGTCAAAAAGTTAATGTTTTTCATTAAATTTTGTCAAAGTGCAAATCTTCACTTCGTCAAAAAGTTAATGTTTTTCATTAAATTTTGTCAAAGTGCAAATCTTCACTTCGTCAAAAAGTTAATGTTTTTCATTAAATTTTGTCAAAGTGCAAATCTTCACTTCGTCAAAAAGTTAATGTTTTTCATTAAATTTTGTCAAAGTGCAAATCTTCACTTCGTCAAAAAGTTAATGTTTTTCATTAAATTTTGTCAAAGTGCAAATCTTCACTTCGTCAAAAAGTTAATGTTTTTCATTAAATTTTGTCAAAGTGCAAATCTTCACTTCGTCAAAAAGTTAATGTTTTTGGTTAGTCTTCATATCGATATTTTACAACAATTCCCCAATGTATAAACTTTTCATACGCTTTTTCATAAGCTTTGTATGTCTTCAGAAATTTTGCATAATCTTTTACATGTTGTTCGTTCTCTTCTTCTGTCATGAGTTCCGAATATTCTAAATTCATGTTCTTTCATATGAGATAAAATTTTATAAAAAAAATAAAATTAGCTTAGATTTTTTTATTCTTCCTCTTTGAAGTTATCGAAATATTCTGTTATTTTTTCCTTCAGTAATGGTAAGTCTTCTTTGAATGTAAGTATTGTGCAACCTTTGATGTCATAGTGTGTTTGAGGAAGATTATTTTTGACAATTTCCTTTATTTGCTCATTCGGTGTCATTGAAATCGGTAAGTTTTCACGATAGAACCAATTTCTGTCAGATTTGTAAATCTTAGCTAAGTCATAAAAGCTCTTGTTGTTTCTTCTGACTAAATGTAACATAACCATATCTTTATCTTCTTCTTTCTCCATCTCTTCAGTATATATCATATACTTATAACTCTTTTCCTTTCCTTTTGGTACTGAACGTGGTATTCTTTTCTGTATGCTTTTGTCTTTGGATTCAATGACTTCATCTTTTGCTTGAAGTTTCTTTTCCATCTCTCCACGTTCTGCTTTATATAGTTCATCTAACATCATGAAAATATAACAAGCATAACGAGGTGAAGCCCACATTGCTACAGCATTTACTAAAAGTCTATGAACATAATAACCTTTCAAACCAGGAGCCAAATTCTTGCGATTTTCGTACGGAATCTCTTCCCTCGGTTTTCCGAGGGAAGCAATCATATGAGGAAATTCTTCTAAAAGTTCTTTTGTCTGTTGGTTTTCAAACCAATGATATGCTTGCTTTGTAGAAAGAAGAGCATTCATTATACTTTGCATCTGGTACATGTCATCTTTGACAGAACGAATGAGTCTCAATTGTTTGTTATACTGTATGTATTCATATTCTTCATTTATGGCTTCATGAACTATAACTGTTGTTGTGTTCTCTGATGTTGACATTACTGTCTTTACATACAAAATAAAAAAATAAATAAAAATAAAACTAACTTTATTTTTCTGTGTTAAAGAAATGTTAAAAATTCATGGTTACATATGTGAAAAGAAGTCACGAACAAATGAAGGTCATAAGATTCAGCACATAATTCTGAATTGAATGGTGTGTCATACATGTCAAACCGTCAAGAATTGAAGGAGATACGAGGCTATAAAGATTTTGGATATTTTCTGACACACACCCTGAGGGAAAAGTGACAAAACACGACGATAGAAAAAAGTGACAAAATGAGAGAAAGTTGTCCCCCGACCAAAATGCAATCATGTTGAAAAAGTGACATTTGTAAAGTTGGACGATAGGATTTCCTGAAAAAGTGCAAGACTTGTCTTGAATCAGGACAAGATTTGTCTTGAAAAAATACAAGACTTGTTCTGAAAAAATACAAGACTTGTCTTGAATCAGGACAATTGTTCTCAAATTTGAGAACTTTACAAGAAAAACTGACTAAAAAGTGCAAGTCTTGTTCTGAATCAGGATAAGATTTGTCTTGAAAAAATACAAGACTTGTTCTGAAAAAATACAAGACTTGTCTTGAATCAGGACAAAACTTTACAAAATGTAAGCCTTACATAACCGTTTCTATCGTACATGATATTTAGTTGACATTGTAAACTATCTTCATGTAAAGTATGGCGGTTTGAAACCGTTGGGAACCTTCACTTTTTTGACGAACTTTCCGCAGCAATTTTTAAAATGTGTGAAAACTCAACGGTTTGACACGTGCCATATGTCATTTTACTCAGAATCTCACGAATTCAGCAAAAATAATTTTTAGGGTAGATGGGTATATCTAACCTAATTTCTACCACGAATTCTACCCTCATTATTTATAACCATTTTACATGGTAAACGTTATTTTTGGAATTTTGTGAAAACTCAACGGTTTGACACGTGCCATATGTCATTTTACTCAGAATCTCACGAATTCAGCAAAAATAATTTTTAGGGTAGATGGGTATATCTAACCTAATTTCTACCACGAATTCTACCCTCATTATTTATAACCATTTTACATGGTAAACGTTATTTTTGGAATTTTGTGAAAACTCAACGGTTTGACACGTGCCATATGTCATTTTACTCAGAATCTCACGAATTCAGCAAAAATAAATGGTTCATTTACTCACAATATTTTTGTACAAAACGACCCCAAACTTTTAACTTCTTTTCTGCAGTTTCTAATGCTATCTTAGCGAGTTCATATTCTCTAAATTCTCTCTTTAAATCTTCTTGTTCCCATTGGTCTAGTTCGTATGGAGAATCTCTATAACCATAATATATCTCACGTTCATGTTCTAATTGTTTTTCGCACATTTTTCTAACTTCTTGTTCGAACAAAGGTTTAGCATTCTCTACTGTATCTTCGAGTTCTTCTTCATCTAACTTCTCATGAACTTTCTTGTCTATGGAGTCCATAATTTTTCCAACTGCTATGCAATATTTTGGAGAAGCCCACATTGCTATATAGTTTATAAGTCTTGCGTCTACATACGTTCCTCTAACCTGTTTGATTTCATCAGGAATTCCTGCATGAATTTTGTATAAAAAGCAACCGCCGGAATTCAGACGGTTGCTATATTCTTCACAAAATGCCTTATAATACTCTTCCCAGGACTTATTTTCCAACAACTTTCTAAAGTCTTTCCTAAACTGCTGACACATATTTGTTGCATTTATATAACCATCCTTGTCTCTACGTAAGACTTCAATACCATTATAAGTGCCTTTTGTGAATGTTTCGCCATTAGATTTGTTCGTGAACGTCTGTGCTTCGACTGACATTTCTGTTCTTACATACAAAATAAAAAAATAAATAAAAATAAAACTAACTTTATTTTTTCTATCTTAAGGAAATTCATGAAAATTCATGAGGGTAGAAATGAGGTTAGAAAAGTGGTTAGAAAACGTGTTAGATCTAACATTCTAACATAAATAAAGTTTATGTTAAAATAAATGGTACCATTAATAATTTCATGACTGTTCTCGTTCATGTCTGATTTACATCCAACGAAAAAGTTTAGAAGAATTTTCTTATTCTTTCTGGCTTATTTTTGTCTTTCCAGTACTCCCGCTCTAATGGACCCAGATGAGTTGGTTTAGATTCTCTCAAGTTCTTAGATGGTATAACATCTTCAACGCCTCCTTCATATCTTACTTTATAAGTGTCATCGTTTATGTTATAGCCAAGTATTTCAATAACCACTCCTCGCTTTGCTTCGTCAATGGTTTCAGCAAGTTTGCCATTACTACTTTCGACTAATTTATGACGAGGATAAAACGCAATAGAGTCGTCGGCAGCTTTTATAAGATATCCATTACCTTGCGTAGAGTCTACGATATAATAATTTCTACTTAACCTTAAACGTTTCTTTGTCAACGGTTTGTCGTCAAGAACTACACGAACTTTTGTACCAGGAATGAGGGTAAATTGTGTTGAATTTCTGATATTTTGTGTTTGACTTCGTTTCTTTTGTATATACTTTTCTTCTTGTTGTTGTGTCATTGAATTTGGTGTATGTCCTGTTGTAGAATGTGTTGAGGAATTATATACTTCGAGAAAATGTTTCATTGTTTCTTCGGTAAAGTCTCGCTCTTGTTTAAATCTCTGAGAGTCCTTATGAAGCGGTTTATGATGCCGAGTATGTTATGGTTATGGTCTTCAGTAGTGTAGTGAGTTATGTTATGCTTAATGAGAAATTCTGTGATTTCATTGCTGAGGTATGCACTGTCTTGGTCTGATGTTAAAGTACTTGGGTTTATGTTCTGCTACAAACTTTTGTAAAACTCTTAACACTTCAGTTTTTATTTTTTCATTGGATATGCATATGCTTTACGAGTGTTAACATTAATAAAGATGAGGAATGGTTTTATGTTCCTTTTCTGCTTTGAATGAGAGTGTCAAATTGGTATGCGTCAGGAGCGTTGGAGTAAATTGGTAAAAAGTAGTCGTAAGGGTTTATTTTTGTTTGATGTACAACATTTTTGTCAAAGAACCTTTTCACTTCAGCTCTGTTAGTAAATCCCAACTTTTTTGCAGCTTCATTGAACTTCTTAAATGACCTCCATGGATGTTGTTCGAACTTCTTTCAAGCTCATTTATGTAAAGTTAAATTTAGTAATTTCATGCTGTTCGCTCTTTTGGAGCTCAGGACTTTCAGGCCGTTCTAACCCATGCATAAACCGTCATATAAGGTGGCATATAGTCTGCTCCACTTCCCTGTTGGATTTGTTTGAAAGTATGGACATGATTTCTCCTGTGTTCAGTTTGTCGAAAAGTCTTTTTTTGCTGAATGGTTATATATCTGGAGATAAAACGTCATTGCCAGCTTTATATTCTGAGTTGTATAATGGATGGTCTCGTAATGAGTGGCTATGGTCGCCAGAAAAGTTTGTAGTTCCTGTATGAGTGTGGCGTGGAAGGTTTGCTTCTTTAATTTTCTTTGAACCACCCGTTTGCTTTGAAGAGTTAGCACAGTATAAGATTTTGTCTACAATCTGTGCATGTACCAAAAACCTAAAACTGTTTCTGGATTTGTTGAGTTCATTGACGTATAAATAGAACCAATGGGATATAATGTTTGAAGTATTTTCTGTCTTTAATGTTTGAAGCTCTGTTTTGTCTGCTTTCTTATCTAACATTGTTGGTAGTTCATATGCTTCAAAGTTTCTGGCATGATCTTCGATATTCCTGCAACTCTTATCTAAATTGTTAAGAGTATCTTTACGCTTGTACTTGGATTTTCTAATGGTGCACTTGAACCAAGGTCAAAGTTCAATATTATGTCGTCTGCTCTAACAGTAGTGAAGGATTTATGTGTATGGTTCTTGTCAGCTTTCTTATCTAACATTGTTGGTAGTTCATATGCTTCAAAGTTTCTGGCATGATCTTCGATATTCCTGCAACTCTTATCTAAATTGTTAAGAGTATCTTTTACGCTTGTACTTGGATTTTCTAATGGTGCACTTGAACCAAGGTCAAAGTTCAATATTATGTCGTCTGCTCTAACAGTAGTGAAGGATTTATGTGTATGGTTCTTGTCAGCTTTACTGTCTAATGTAGCTTGAAGTTCATTTATATCGGAGATGTTGTGTTTATGAGATTTCAAAACTTTGTTCATTGCTTCGAGTTCATCTTTGTCAGCTTTACTTTTAATAGCATCTTCAAACGTTATTTTTGACTTAACTCTCAAAGTAAATCTTGGTTCAACTAATACACCGTTAACAGAGAAAGTAGAGGCATAAATTTCATCGTTATAACCAAATGCTTCTGGTGCTTTACCCGTGTCATACTGTACAGTACAGCGTATATCATAACCTTTAGCACGAATGTATTTATATCTTCTTTCATTAACATTTTTTGTCTTCGCTTCATCACTTCGTGTTAAATATCCATGGTAGTCCGTTATAATCTGTTCGTCTGAAGTTATATAATGAACGTGGTTTTTATCTGCTTTTTCGGCTAATTTCTCTTCTATCTCATTTATTTCAAGTTCATGCCTACCACCACCTCCCGAAGAAGTATTTTTCTTCAGCTCTTGAAGAACGTCCACTTCGCCATCTTTGGTGTCAATAATGAGACTTTGAGTTAAAACCTTTCCTGTCTTAATGGATGTTTGTAAAACTTCTTCTTCACCGTGTTCGGGGTCATGGTCGTCATCATATCTTGTGAAATCAGAGATGTTGTCATACATTAAGCATATCTGTCTCAAAAGTTCTGCTATTTGAAACTGGAACGAAAGATATACAGAACTTTCATCATCTCCTAAAGTCAAGTCTGCTTTCTTAAGTATTTCTTGAATGTATGCAATGAGAACAGAGTACCTTGGAAAATATTCGAACAATATTTCATTAGCTGTTGGTTTTGGTGGTTCTTCTGGAGTTTCTGTTGGAGTTTCTGCATCTCTTGACTTCAATGCTCTTGCTCTCAAAGACCTAAATGTTAGAGCACCGGGTTTTACAAAGGACTTTATAAATGCTTTATATAGTTCCTGGTAAGTTATTGTTAGCATTAAGTAAGTTCCTTATGCTTCCATCATGTACGTCCATAGCACTATGTAAAAATCTATACTTTTCTTGTAGTCAGCAATAGACTGACTGTGATTTTTTAAAGATTTGTCAATACCTTTAAGCCAATCTTCATGTATGTCTGATACTGAGCCAAGAATATCATTTGCTTCCTTTAGTGTATTTTGTGCTTCTCGTAAAGTATCCAATCCCGTACGTGCATTGTTTGCTATACGTCTTACAGTAATCTATTTGACTCCTTGTTTCTTGCATCCAACCAGATAAAGTTTTAATAGTATCCGAACCATTTGAAATGAAGTTCAAAGCATTTTTAACGTCATCTAAAGCTTCTTCACCAAGTACTGCCCATATCTTTCCGATTTGGTATTGAAGAACTCCATATGAAGCAGCTGTTAAACCAGTATTTATAAGGTCCCATATCCATGATTTAGCAGTTTTTGTAAGGATTCATTTCTAATGAATACGTTAAACATTCAAAATATTCTATAAGTTCTAGTATGGAGATTCAAAGATATAAAGAAAATGGTACAGTAAATAAACGGATTATGGAAATAATTTATAATTAAATGAAAGAAAAGAAAAAAAATAATAAGCTAAAGGTGACTGGAAATGAAAATGAAAATCAGTGTACAGTGTTTTATTTTTTTTCGCTGTGAAACGTTATTCGTCTTTTTTTTAAAAAATTAATTTTTTGTTAGAGATAAGAGCTAAAACCGGTAAACAACTTCTTTATGTCTAGAAAATTCTATCTTGCCTTTTATTTTTTCTCGCTGTGAAACGATTTCGGTCTTTTTTTTAAAATTAATTTTTTGTTAGAGATAAGAGCTAAAACTCGGTAAACAACTTCTTTATGTCTAGAAAATTCTATCTTGCCTTTTATTTTTTTCTCGCTGTGAAACGTATTCGGTCTTTTTTTTAAAAATTAATTTTTTGTAGAGATAAGAGCTAAAACTGGTAAACAACTCTTTATGTCTAGAAAATTCTATCTTGCCTTATTTTTTCTCGCTGTGAAACGTATTCGTCTTTTTTTTAAAAATTAATTTTTTGTTAGAGATAAGAGCTAAAACTCGTAAACAACTTCTTTATGTCTAGAAAATTCTATCTTGCCTTTATTTTTTTTCTCGCTGTGAAACGTATTCGGTCTTTTTTTTAAAAATTAATTTTTGTTTAGAGATAAGAGCTAAAACTCGGTAAACAACTTCTTTATGTCTAGAAAATTCTATCTTGCCTTTTTTTTTTTCTCGCTGGTGAACGTATTCGGTCTTTTTTTTTTAAAAATTAATTTTTGTTAGAGATAAGAGCTAAAACTCGGTAAACAACTTTTTATGTCTAGAAAATTCTATCTTTGCCTTTTATTTTTTTCTCGCTGTGAAACGTATTCGGTCTTTTTTTTTAAAAATTTAATTTTTTGTTAGAGATAAGAGCTAAAACTCGGTAAACAACTTCTTTATGTCTAGAAAATTCTATCTTGCCTTTTATTTTTTCTCGCTGTGAAACGTATTCGGTCTTTTTTTTAAAAAGTAATTTTTGTTAGAGATAAGAGCTAAAACTCGGTAAACAACTTCTTTATGTCTAGAAAATTCTATCTTGCCTTTTATTTTTTCTCGCTGTGAAACGTATTCGGTCTTTTTTTAAAAATTAATTTTTTGTTAGAGATAAGAGCTAAAATCGGTAAACAACTTCTTTATGTCTAGAAAATTCTATCTTGTTATTTTTTTCTCGCTGTGAAACGTATTCGTCTTTTTTTAAAAATTAATTTTTTGTTAGAGATAAGAGCTAAAACTCGTAAACAACTTCTTTATGTCTAGAAAATTCTATCTTGCCTTTTATTTTTTTCTCGCTGTGAAACGTATTCGGTCTTTTTTTAAAAAAATTTTTTGTTAGAGATAAGAGCTAAAACTCGGTAAAAAACTCTTTATGTCTAGAAAATTCTATCTTGCCTTTTATTTTTTTCTCGCTGTGAAACGTATTCGGTCTTTTTTATAAAAATTAATTTTTTGTTAGAGATAAGAGCTAAAACTCGGTAAACAACTTCTTTATGTCTAGAAAATTCTATCTTGCCTTTTATTTTTTTCTCGCTGTTGAACGTATTCGGTCTTTTTTTTAAAAATTAATTTTGTTAGAGATAAGAGCTAAAACTCGGTAAACAACTTCTTTATGTCTAGAAAAATTCTATCTTGCCTTTTATTTTTTTCTCGCTGTTGAAACGTATTCGGTCTTTTTTTTAAAAATTAATTTTTTGTTAGAATAAGAGCTAAAACTCGGTAAACAACTTCTTTATGTCTAGAAAATTCTATCTTGCCTTTTATTTTTTTTTCTCGCTGTGAAACTATTCGGTCTTTTTTTTAAAAAGTAATTTTGTTAGAGATAAGAGCTAAAACTCGGTAAACAATTCTTTTATGTCTAGAAAAATTCTATCTTGCCTTTTATTTTTTTCTCGCTGTGAAACGTATTCGGTCTTTTTTTTAAAATAAATTTTTGTTTAGGAGATAAGAGCTTTAAAACTCGGGTAAACAACTTTTTATGTCTAGAAAATTCTATCTT